GGGAAGAGAAGTAGGACGATTACCGGAATGGTATCCAAGTCGCCCCTGTGATCCCGTCGCCTGGGAAGAGGAGGGGTGGTCGGATCGCTCCGCTGCCTTGACCCTGGAGAACCGCCTCCGCTTGGGGCTGCGAGATGAAGGCAGCTGGGCTGCTTGATTCGAGTCAAATAAGCATGGGGCTGATTCTGAATTCCTAATAGCTACTGTCGACAGACATGTATTTAGGCTATGGTTCAGATGCTTTTCGTGCAACCGATTAGAACATTCCATATCCCCCCTCTATGATTTATGTGCCCTCGAGCAGCCCAAAATAGTCAGGAATCGTAGTGGTTTAGCTACGACCCACTGATATGGTGACATGGATACAAGGACATGGGATATAGCAATTTCTAGAAACAGCCACACAGCGATACGTCGAGTATATATATAATTAATTAATGAAGTGCCCTGTAATAAAAACAGAATAATTGGATGTGTGAGAGATCAAAATACTGCCCCATTTGTGGCTTCCATGCCTCTTTTCAAGTCTTTGATGACTGAATGATCATCGATTTCCTCAATTTTCATGGTACTTTTAAGTTGAAGCATGAGCCCGTAGAGGATATTTCTGATTGACAATACCAGCCCCAGTCTCTTCAATATCAACACTGATACTGTTGTTTATACTCCCACAAACTGAACATTGGCTGCCTGGCATGCCACTGCCTGCAGCACCAGCACAGCTGCAACACCAGTAGGTCAGCAGCAGCAAGCAGGAGCATTATACAGCAAAGCATGGTGGTGACTCTGGACGGCAGCGAGGCGAAACCAGGCGGTGACGGCGGAGGCGCGCTCGTGCTGTCACCCAGTTGCTCTTGATCCAATCTGCCTGCCCTGGTCAATTGAGCGAATAGAGCAAGTGAGAGAGAGCTGGATATTAGGTTTAGGAGTGGGCATCTACTGGGCTTACCTTGTCCCCGACGTGTCTACTGTATCGTCTTCCCATGTCACTCTGGGGATATGCGTTTCTGGCGCACCGGCTGCGTCTTGTAACGGACACGCCAGACCTGGCCGTATTGGTGCTTCATAGTCGTTTAGCATCTATTCTTATGACGGATTGTTATATTTCTGTGCTTCTACATACACTTCTTTATTGTCATGGACAGACATGATGACATACCCTTAATATAATATTGTTATGTTGCAGAGATGACTGCTTAAATGGGATAATTATAACACAAGGCAGTCTGGTGTATATACTGAAGAATCAGGTTTTAACCACAATCACCAGAAACTAGAAATGGAGGATGGCCTTGAGCTTAGTTTAGGCCTCTCTTTGGGTGGTGGGTCTTCTGGGAAGTCTAAGGCAAGAGATGCTTCTCTAGAGCCTAAAGCAGAACCTCAAGTGGAAGAGAGCAGTAGCAAAGGTGTCTCGCAACCTCCTGATGCTCCTTTTGCACATTACTATCAAGCAACTGCTGAGAACCAGGAACACAGTAGCAAGCAGAGGCATAGCCCTGCTACCCCGCCATTTGGAAACTTCTGGGGACAACACGGTGGCTCCTCTGCTCCAGTGGCAGATGGATCCAGTGAACTAATAGCCCACCAATCTCAGCTTCCCCAGTATCAAGAGGGGCGGACTCCAAATAATATTGGAAATAATTCTGAGGAAAACATGCCAGTCTCAAGTAAACGAAAGCTGCTTTCTGAAGAGACAAGTTTTCAGAAGAAGCATCATTCTGCTGCTGACCAGCCTGATGCATTCAGTAAGAACTCCGAGGGAGGTGTGAAAAATGCACCGATTTCAATTAGCACGGATGATGGTTCAACCGGTGAAAATGAGGATGTTGCAGACTCGGAAGCAGAAGGCTCAAACTCTTGGTTGGTTGCACAGCGTGAAGACAGTGCCAAGGGCTCTGTGGTAAACAGAGGATCCGATATAAAGAGATCCAGTGATGATGCTACAGGTGGATTTCAAGGAAAGAGGCAACCGAGCTTTTCAGGAAGTGAATCTAGCTCTGGAAAGTTGCCGCATGGAAATCCCTTACAAGCATCGAATGTAGTGACTGCGCAATATCAAGGCCAGACTCAGGTTTCAGCACCCCTGGGCATAACTAATGCACCCAATTTTCCTCCAATGTATACAGTGCAATTGAGGCCACCCGTAAACAATGGACCAGCGGTCCAGACGATGGGTGGTGCCTCCCAGGTTTCTTTTGGTTACCCAACAGGTCAGCTACCAATACTTGAAACGAGCTCTTCATGGGCATTTGGTACTCCGCCTCAGGCTATTTCTTCCTTTGCTGCAAAGCAAGCCGAACGAGCAGGAGCCAAACAAGCTGATGATGGAAAGAAACCTCAAGGTCAGTTCACCTCGTAATACTCTACTTATGTGCAAATAAATAGAGGAAAAGGTCATGTTGCTACGGCACTCAAATATACTCCCTCCGTTCGGAATTACTTGTCTTGAAAATGAATGTATTTAGAACTAAAATAAATCTAGATACATCCATTTCTGCGACAAGTAATTCCGAACGGAGGGAGTATGTCGTAAAATGACTCCTATATGTGTCTACCTCTCTAAATGATATCTGGATTTGTTAGGTTATGTAAGAACACTGAGTTGAAATACTTGGTCTGGATATTTCAGTGAAGAGTTTTAGTCTACTGTCCAGTCCCAAATGTCCTTGTTTATTAGTTTCTCCTTCAGTTTGGTGTGACAGAAGCAATCTGGAGGTGTGTAGTTAGCTCATCTAATTTAGAACCACTTTAATTACTACTCCCTCCGATCCAAACTAAGTGTCGCAGTTTTTTGAACTAAGGTTACTTCAACCTTAGTTCAACGCTGCGAAACTTATTATGGATCGGAGGTATCTGTGAGCAGCACTGCCACTTCTTGATATGGAAGTGCTTTCCTGTAATCTAGTAAGGTAAAATGAGCATAGTTGAAAAGTAATTCCTCATTAAGCTTCTTGTGTGCACAGCTATACCTTTTGTTCGTTTAAAATTTGGAAAGTCAATCGTTTCCCTTTCTCTTCTTTATGAACTGCAGAGGCTGGCACGTCCTCCTCTGCTCTTTTGGAGGATGGTAAGGTTGTCGAGAAGGTATTGCCTCTCATGGGTTCGGGCTCTGGTATAAGGCCGGGCATCGCCCCGAACGTCAAATTCGGAGGGTCTGGATCGTACCCTGATCTTCCCTGGGTATCCACGACTGGGACTGGACCAAGTGGCAGGACCATATCGGGCGTAACATACAACTTCGGCAGGAACGAAGTGAAGATCGTGTGTGCTTGCCATGGCACACACATGACCCCTGAGGAGTTCACACGACACGCTAGCGTGGACGCCACGGGCCAAGAGAACAATGCTACCATGTCGGCGTTTCCTGTCGGGAATCAAGCAGCCTCAGCCCAAAACTAATTCGGCGGCCTGAGTGCCGGTTTCATAGTGTGCTTGCTGTCCCCTTTGTGTCCATATCATCAGTTCAGTATATTGTTGCTCTGTTGATTCAAACCCTATTGATATACATTATGTAGACATGTGTCATGTTGTAACTTTGGCTCTATTGTTGTGAACGAAACTGATGTATTTATTATAGCTCCTTTTGTGTCTTCAAGGCAGAATAATACTCCCTTCGTTTTTATTTACTCGGTATATTAGGTTTGTCTAAAGTCAATTTTTATATACTTTCAACAAGTTTGCAGAAAAATATATTAACATATACACCACCAAATCAATACCATTGGATTCATCATTGCATATATTTTCACATCACATAAATTTGTTACTGTGAATGTTCATATTGTTTTCTACAAACTTTATAAAGTTTGACTATTAGGCTATGGAACTTGATCATTGCAAAATTCAGGCTTCATAATATGCACCTCTATGTAGCATCTTGAGGGTTTGGTCAAGGACTGGTGGACAAATAGGACCGGCGCAGGAGTCCCCAACGGGAAGGCCATGGCCTCTCTAACCATGCTCGTCTCATGGACCTTTTGGAACGAGTGGAACGCCCATGTCTTCTGACGCAAGAGTGCTCCACCACCAATCTTGCTAAACCACATCACCCGCGAGGCAAACTTTTGAATCACCGCCGGAGTTAAGAAATTAGGAAATATTATCTTGTGCAAGTAATCCTTCATGCCGTGTAAAAGTGTGTCCTTGTAAGAAACTTTCTTCTTGGCTTAATTAATAGATGAGGCAAATCTTTTGCCTTCGTTTTAAAATAAAAATAAAGTTTGACTTCAAAGCTAATATGCGGAGTAAATAAAAAACGGAGGGAGTATTTGACCACAGCCAGCAAAATGGTTTGATGGGGCCGCGTTGCCATTTGGTGATGATGCAGGCAGAATGATAGCAACATACATATGCTTTCTTCTATAAGAGTTTTTCAGTCAAACAAATTTTTCATCATCCATCATAAAAGAGGTAGAAATGCTTTCACAACATGTCAAACCTGGGGACGTATGTACCATGCTCCGTTTGCTATTTAAGTTAAACTTGCACCATGTTAAAACATTTTCAAAAGTACAACATGGATACCAAGTTCAACATCAAGGTTTCACATAATCAAGATGTCATCTCCTGTGCGCTACAGCATTTACGTTAGGAGGGAAAATGATGGTCCAGCTATCTTTGACAGGTTCAGTGTCATTTTTCTCTCAATGCTAGCTCTGCTAGGCAGATAAGCCATCAATCAGCGTTACACAACAGACCCGCCTTCAAGTGCTACGGGCTCTCGTTCAATGGCCTCCACCTGCTAGGTTTAACTAGCCTCGCTGACACTCCAGCTGCTTCGTGTTCTCCAATAGCACCTGCTTCAGCATCACAACACAACCAACCAGCATTCAGGTTTCATACAATGGGAAATCATTGGTGTGCACAACAATATGGTTTCAGTGTGTCCAATCGTGGGACGACAAGTTTGGAGAAGATATAATTGAGCAAGGGCGGCCGAGAATAAGGAAAGGTTCTTAACCTCCCGGATGTAGGTTGCGATCGCTTTGCACCCTTCAGTTGCAAGGTCCATGACAGTCTCGAATGTGTCCATTGGTAGTTTCGCGTCCATCTGAAAACCGCCTTTTGAGCATTAGTGTTGCTGTGAATGAATGATATCGTGCAGCAAACTAATAAGCACATAAGAAATGCGCCGCATCAGAAAGTTTGTGCTGCGGATGAGACGTGGGCTAGGGAGGCCCTGAAATTTGGAGCAATCAAAGTTTATGATTGTTCTGTAACCTGCAGAAGAGTCACTTTGTCCATCTTTGCAAGAATGTCAACGGTGACATCCACACCTCCAGCACTGTCTTCTATGTAATTCAGATCTGAAATAACATATTAGAATGGTTGAGGCCTCTTTGTCAGAGATGATTCTTGGCTTTGTCATAGACGTGAGAGCAGAAAATAGGCCCATAACAAGCAAAGGAGTAGAACACAGGTACCCAGCACTGCAAGATGTGACTATGTCTCGCATTGGAAACCCAGCATCTGCAAGTGCTAGTGTTGCAGCATTGATGCATGCGGACCTGGTTCCTGTCATGCACGCAGTCATGATCAAGATAGAAATTGAAGTCATATTAAGTACCACTCATGCTACAATCGTTTCAAAATAGGCAAAAATAATAGTACGTCACAGCAGGACTGGGTAATGGAAGCAAGAAAATGCATGTGTACCAAGTAAAATATTTAAACGGACTCTGGACAAAAATAAAGTCTTGTGTTGTGTGCCTTTGGTTTGGCAAAAGAAATAAAGTTGGTTCTATTTATGCATGCTGATTAGAGAAAATCTGAAATATTCAAATATAGTGCACTTACCACCATCAGCTTGAAGAACTTGGACAAATATGTCAATCTACAAAGCAAACACAGTAAGAATTCAAAGTGGGTCCTGTTTACAATTCAAGATAGAGGTTTCTTGCAGCACAACTGGTTAGATGACTCACCTGTGAGTGTGGCATTAAATGTGTTAATATGCTTGCCTCCATTGTTTGTCGAATAACAAGAGAAATCTCTGTTGATCGCCTGTCATGAAGTTGTAGATTCACCTCATTACTACATAGTTGTGCAGGAAATAAAATAGCAAGTAGACTATAACTGATGCATCATGTTATTCCTTTAGCATGCTGTGTGTTCAGTTGTTCACCACAAAACACTGACATGAATGAACTAAGCTACACATTAGCGTTGTCTGTTTTATTTCACATGAGGAAATTCCTGAACTTCTACTTTAATTGCATTGCAATATTTGATCATGTTACAGGCCTAAAAAGATCTTGAGATGACACCACCCTTAGCTTTGAGTACCTTTCCCCTTTAAGAACAAATCAGACATAACTAAAAAAAACACTGTCCCCAATCTAGACAACAATAATGATATCTAATATTTGAAAAAAAAACACAGAGAATAAGCCTGAAATAATGGTATGAAAATATGTCATGACAAAAGTGTGTACTGATAATAAATGAATCCACCATAGTCAACGGTTCTCCCTCCTTAAGCTGGAACATACCTGTCACCTTTTGGCTTTCTCCTTCGATCCCCAGTGCTAAATTCTGCCATTCTATACTCACAACGCACCTGCAGACACATTTCTCATGAGCGCATCCTAACAAGAGAACCTTTAATGCTTGATTCCGTTGGATTAATAAACTTACCAAAGCCTCTTGACCGTTTTGTTGCTAACTCCTGTTTTGGATCTGAATGAGTAAAACAAGCAAAATAACATTAGTCTTAAGCTGGGATATGTTAGCCATTCATATTGAGGAAAACTAACTGGTATGAAAAGGCAATATCATAGCTACACAAGGAAGAGCCACCCTAGGTCCTGTGAGAAAACACCCCATGTTCTACTGGCACTCGAGCAGATGACTCGGGCAACCGCTCTGGTGAGCCATGCCTCCACCCTTGATGCTGCCTACTGGTCGCCGATGGCTCCAACGGCAGGGGCTTGACTGATCTGGTGCTTTACTTGAAATGTGGCGTGGATTGCCCTTTGCATGTAATAGTTAGATCATGGCTTGAACGGAAACTTGGAGATGGTTTAACCTTTTTAGTTCGTTTCAGTAGTTTGCTTTTACTGCTTTCTGAACTTGGCGTGGATGCCTTGGACTGAACCTGAATGAAATGGAGCCGTTGATCTAAAAATGTTCTACTGGCGCCACTGATCCTACCGGTTTCCTAGAACATGTTATTTGCAGTACCAAAACACAGAAGGATGACATTCTGCAATAGCATCCGCAACATGACAAGACTAATGTGCCAGTTCAGTGCTCCATGTCATTTAATTCAGAAAATTAACTACAAAGCTCACAATAAATTCTTTCATAGACACACACCACATCAAACGTGCTGTATGAACTTCAAAAGAGATACCCCAAATCAACATATATCCGAAAAGTAACTAAAACTTCACAGTAGCCTTTCATAGACAATCCATCAAACATTCCATGTGCTCTATGAAAAACATAATCCTGAATCCAGAACTTAACTACCAACAAACATGACGTTAATCCTCACAGGCATTATGTCATACATGGCATGTGCGATTCGAGAAAAGCTCCCCAAATCACCTTAATACCAATCATCAACTAGAGAACTCGCGCTAATCCTTAACAGGCATGCTAATCCCTAACAGGCATTGCATCGAACAGTTAGCGTGCGCGAGCTATATGTGCAAACAAGATGAGGGACATGGACTACCTCCCGTGGCCCGTAGACGGCGGCGATGACCCTGGTGTTGCCCATCTCGAAGAGCGCCGAGCCGTCAGCCCTGGAGACGACGCCGACCTCGCCCTTGAGCTGCCGCATCTGCGAGACACCAACCGCCAAGAACCGGAGTCAGTCGAGCGTGAAGCAGAGGAAGGTGAGACAGGGAGGTCAGGAGAGGGGCGTGACCTCGTTGGGGCGGCGGCCGTCGACGCGGAAGCAGGTGAGAGGGTTGACGTACTCCATCACGGGACTGTTTTGCCCTCTCCACCCCTGCTTCGAGCTCCGCACAGGCTGCGACGGCGGCAAGGGCGAGGGAGAGGGCTTTGGTGCGGGTTAAGTCGTTTTTTTAAACAATCTCGCGAAACTTTATTTATAACGTCACAATGTTTATACAAACGAACATCATATCATCGGGGTGTGCTAACCAAATAAGACGACCAACCCTAATTTCAAAACGTGCTTTGCTAAATTGTGAGCTTCAAAGTTGAAGCTCCTAAACTCATGGACAAAGTTACATGAAATGAAAGAACTACTATAGTCTATAATTTCATGTATGATGGCTCCATAGCTAGCCTGACTCTGATGCATGATATCATCCACCACCATCTTGCAGTCCGATGCAACATGAATTCTTCGTTGGTTCAAATCCTCGGTGAGGGATAGTGCCTCCCGGACAACAAGAGCCTCCAGTGTTGTTGGGTCGGTTATACCTCTGAAAATGATCACTTGAGCTCCAAGAAAGTTACGTCATGTTCTCGGCATACTGCAGCAACAGCTCCTCTTCTATGTACGTTTGCAACTGATGCATCAACATTGATCTTCACCAATGTAGCCGGCGGCCGCAACCAGTTAATTAAGCTGAGTGGAAACTGGCTCCTTACAACGACCCCAGCGTCGCACTGGGCCAGAAAATATCCAGGCCCATTCACCCAGCGAAGCCCATCACCCAACCCATCTACCCAACCATTCTTGCGCCAAAGTTCGCCTATGTATCGTCTTCCGGCGCCAAAACACAGAAGAGAGCATCGTGAGCGCGCGCATGCGGCAGCGTCGTGAGCACGCACCGGTAGCTCCGTCCGAACGCTCTCCGTGCTTCTCCCTTTGGGGACCGTCACAGGAAGTTCCCTTGTCACATTCCCTTGACCAACCTCTTCTCTGACAACGGTGACGACGAGCCGGCGCTGCGCTCCTACTTTCATTACTCATCTGATGGAAAACCAGGCCAGTACAAATTTGAAACAAGACTGGTGAGGAGGACAATAAAAGAGCTAATGCCATCAAACATTGTCTGCTCATTGCACTAAAGAATAAAATCTTATTAAGGATTTCAGTGCTTGTATGTTCGGGTGCGAGGACAAGGAAACATTTGTGCAGACTTTCTGCACCCTGAGAAATAAGGTAGAGTATAAAGTAATAGAAAAATGGGTTGAATGTTATATGAGGGATGCTTTCACCATAGGGATGCGAAGCACACAACTAGGTGAGAGCCTAAACAATGACCCGAAACTCCACCTGAAACCAGACCTTGACCTTGTTCGTTTTTTCAAGCATTTTGAAAGGGTTGTGCAAGGGAAACGAGACAATGAGTTGGATTCGGAGTACGAGTCCAGAGAGAAACTACCTACAATCAAAATAACTACACCGGTGTGAGTCCAAGCAAGCGAGGTATACACTCCTGGCATATTTGAAAATTTTCAAATAGAGCATGTGAGATCTATAGTAGCCAACAGTAAAGTACTTGCAGAGATCAAATATTTGGAGATGAGCGCACGGTTGTTGGTAATCCGTTGGAACAAATAGCCACATATAGTTGTGGGCAATTTGAGAGAATTGGACTACTATGTGCCCATGCTCTAAGAGTTCTCGATTTGATGAACATTAAATTACCGCCACCATCTTATATTTGAAAGCCTTGGTCTCTAGGTGCACGGTGTGGAACTATCCAAGATATAAGTGGAAGGGAATGTTGTTGAGAGTCCAATGTTGGATGCCATTCTTAGCTGCAAATTTCTCACACACAAATTTGTCAACTTGGGCACTCAAGCAGTAAGCTCTCAGCCATGTCGTATTTTACTTGATAATGCACTTGATATCCTCACTAAGGAAGTTGAAGAGTAATTGAAAAAAGGAACGATAATGTCACCTTGTCGAGGAATGTGATACCCAAGTGATACCTCAAGAATCAAATTAGGATTTAAGTGCCGCATGCCTAAAGGAAAAATCTCCACAGAAAAAAGGTTCAAAGCGAGATAAAACTTGTATGGATAGGCAATGCAAGAAATGGAAGACAAGACCACCTAAAGCTAGAGAGACACAAGAATTACCTACGACATGTTATTTATATGCTGAAAAACAATTACTTTGTTGACCTTTAAAATATAGTCTATTTGTATGATTGAATTCTATGTTCATTTTGTTTTCAGCAACAGGAGAATGAGATTCATAAAAATATGAAAGGGCGGAAAAGACCAACCAAAGTTAAAGAGACAAGTATTTCCTACAATGTGTCTTTTGTATGCTAGAAGATATTTACTTCCATGTCCATTCAAGTATAGTATTTTACTTTGTTCTCCTTCCACATGTAGGAGCAGCTGAATGGAATCAAGAAAAAAAAAACAAAAGAAGGAAACGGTCTACAAAAACCACCAATGCACATGCCTTGCCTATGAGTTCCCAGCAACAGAAAGATGAGACAAATTCATTGACAGAGAAAGATCCTGGGAGCATTGAGAGTGATTTTCACGGTCATGGGTGCATGCATCACTCTGATGCAGAGGCCGGGGGCATTCCTCCTTTTCAAAAAGAAAACCCGGTTATGGGTGTATTAAGGGTTACACTGAATTATTTATGGTCTGCTTCATTCCATGTACTATTGTGCTTAACTAATGTTTCATCAAAAATGATGTTTTTTTCTAATATGAGCAATCCTTTAAAGATGCAGGGTTCAAGTGTCGAACACCTTTACACAAATGATATGTTTCTATCAGACCCCCTTTGTCATTTGTAGACTTGAAGATCCATTTTATCATTAGAGGACTTTAAGAGTGTTGAATGCTAAATATTAAATGGGTGCTGCTACTGGTCTAATTAGTTAAATCCGCCCCAGGGAAAAGTATGTGAAAATTCTAGTATTTTAACTTTTGAGCATCCCTTGAATTTGTCAATGCCAGACCAGCAGTTGATTAAGATTGTTCAGTGGAATTCACTTGGTTGTAACGTGCATAGTTTGCTTGTTTAAATTTCAGTTTGTGTATTGATGCGTGATTCTTCAGTTCTTCAGTTTTGTAGCAGGTTTGGTTCAGACGAGTTCTTTAGTAAACGCACAGGCAGTTTTTTTAAGAAAAGACAACTGGGCTTTATTAACTCATATCAACATTTATACATGTATAACAAGAGCATCGTGGGGTGACCCCAACCAAATATGTCTTCCTCGAGGAAGACAATGAGCAAGTGTGAGAGGCTAGGCAAGGACTGGGTAGATGGGCTTTCCTGGCCCATATTAATGCCTTCGCAAGGGATCATAGGGAATCGTATCTGCACGAGAGCTATATCTCCCATTAAGCGAGTTGAAAGGATCCAAACCGGGGTCTTCAGGTTTAGAGAGAGCGCGACTAGCCACTAGGCTATGCCTTAGGTGTGTGGCAGAAAGTCCAAACAAGTCGACGTTTCCACTGTTTCTTCTTCGTTTTTTCCATGTTTTTTCTTTCTTTTATTTCCTTTCTTTTTTCTTCTCCGGTTTTTCCATTGTTTATTCTTTCTTTCTTTGGTTATATTTTTAGTTTTCTTTTTTTTGGTTTAATTTCTTTCTGTTTCGTTTTTCATTCATATGATTTTCTTTTTTTTGTTTTCAT